CAAGTTGCGCACGTTAAAGATCCCTTGGTGGTCTAAAATCGATAAGAGTAGGCTTCGGCCGCCACCAGGGCAAAATTCCAAATTTCCTACCAACTGAAAATATTAGGTGTGTCCCGCACCCTCATATGACCTATGCAGTTGCGAGCGCCGTAATACACTTTACAAAAACAAAAAATACTTCATTTCTGTCACAAATTAGGTTTTATGAAGAATTTGGGAAAAACAATCATTTTGAAATCTTAAATTAAAAGAATTTTAAATTCTATTCTAAATATTTCAAATTCAAATTATTTTGAGAACACGCAGAAATTTCGAAAGTCTGAAACTTTTCTCCTGTTGGGGAACAGAAATTTTCATGCAAATTCCCATCTGTACCACTCAATGTCAAAGGGATGTGGAAATGCTACGCCTTTTTGAGGGAAACTCGTGCATGAATACTTTAGCAGCAGAAAAAGCGCATCTCATGCTGCATCATGGAAAAATTTTAATCTTTTTCTTTTAAACCCCTTTGCCTTTTGAAGTGTTTTTATCTTTTATGGAATATTTCTTTTGCACCCAAATTCAGTGCAAAAATGCTCTAGAAAGATGAATTCTTAAAACTATCTTTTATTAAAATCGGTTCTGAAAATGTGCACCTTCTGTCAAGTTTCTCCGAGCTACTCTGCTTGTGTATTTTAGATCGTAGTCAACTATGATGTGGCCGCTCTTATTATACAGTCAAACCCTGGTATAACCGCCTACCTTGGGAGGAGCATGAAGTTGGTGGTACAACAGGGCTGGCGGTACAATGAGGTATTCATGTCCTGTGCTAAAATAGTAAATACATGTGACACTAACTGCCCAACGATCTGGCACTTAGCCTAGAGCGGGAGTCCTCTCTAAATAAAAGCCTCCAAGAGCATGCGCCAGCCTGCAAGTTATTTTGGGTAGATATCTGTCACGCCAGATATTTTGCAAGTGGGTTAGGACGGCAGGGTTCCTTTTTAAGTTTCTTCAACTTCAAGCGACCTAAAAAATTAATTCCAATTTATATTTTGGGGGGGGGGGGGACCAAGGCCTAAATTGTAGTCCACGCCGGCTTTAAGCACGGTCATCGGGAGAAAGCTGAAGCGTGCTTATAATGCCGAAGCGTGCGAAGTAGATAAAATCCAGAGATTTTCATGTAGAAAATTTCCTGTGATATTTTCCTTAGTAAGTAAGTGTAAGCCTCTAGTGGTCCTGCAAAAGTGTGCACTGTTATTTTTACCTGCAATGGTACTTTTCATTTGTTTGTTTGTTTTGTTTTGTGGTCGAATGGGAAATGAAATCTTAATTTAGACGGCCAGTCACGATACAGCACACTTGGCCTACACATTGCCTGTGCATACCACTACCACTGCTCGTTGTGCCACATTCATACCACCACTTTCACCCCCCAAACACGGTCTTTGATCCCACCTCGCGCGTGATACCAAATTAATCAGGATTATCGGATAGCGAGGGGCAATAAGGTGAAATCGCAGCCTGCCTCCTTTTCTCATCTCCCCGACCCTCTTTGTATTTTTTTTTATCTGTGTGTAGCTTTGCCCTAGGCTAGATCCTATGTCCACGCGCGCGGCTGTGTGCATCTCTCTGCCTTCCTCTCAGCGCATGTGTGTGTGTCCATTACTTGCGCTGTTTTTGTTTCTCTTAACACACTCACTGCTGAGGTGTAGACTGTGTTCAAACTTGGATGGGTCAACATGAAAGTAATTGACTGTCTTGTAAATGAGGCGTGCCTGACGCCGAAGTAACTGTGCTTAAAGGCGTGTAGCTTATATAGTAAAAATTCGGTAAGAGCCGTTTAGCGTGCTTGAGTCCGAAACGTGCTTTATGCCGGCGTGGACTGTATTCGCATTTTCATAATCAGAGCATAAAGCGGGAAGTGAATTTTGATGCTGAATTACAAACTTATGTTTTATTTCAATTGTACTCATCTACATTACTCATTGAATAGTGTTCGACACACTAATGTATCATTGTGGATATACACATTGCCTGAAATCTACAAGACAAGGGTGGGGATGTGGGACAGGCAGGGAGGGAGCAAATCGGCGAAAAGCGTTTGATCTAGACCTAGTCCCAACTCGTCGAGACTTGTGTGAAATATTATTGTCAAGCAACTGCACCAAGTGATTGTACTGTGCGCCATGTGCAGCCTATAGTGTGTACTGCGTGTGTAGTTCTGGCGGCACAACTAGGTAAATTTATAGTAGCTTAATAAGAACCGTACAACTGAGACGGTTGGCAGATGGTGTAAAAGCGCAAATACTATGTTTATATAGGGGATTCTTTTCATACACTGGCAAAACCTGGCAGTGCAATGGCAGGGGGGGGGGGGGTGTACAACGAGGTTTGACTATTATATTTCCTCAATTTTTTAAAATATATATATGTGTCATGACGAGGTGGATTCGGGCGCTCGTCAATTTTCGGGAATGTGGAGTAATTGCTATCATCATAATAAAGTTTGTTCATTTGTCTTGACTGGCTTTCGATAAAAGTAATATAATCTATCTTGATGAATAGAAGTTGAGATATTGGCGATTGAAGGAGGTGGGGGTTGTTTTGTTTCAGAGGTAAAATTAGTGAGAAAATGTCCACCAAAGCTTGGTGAGTGCCATAGCTTGGGAAACCTTGGAAAGTGAGCATTTACATTTTTTGTGCCTTTAATTAACGATTATCATTAAAACCCACACAAAAATTTTGTTTTTAAATCGACATTTAAAGGTGATGAGCCAAAGTAAATAAAAATTCGATAAAAATTGGCAAATCAGTGGGAAAATGCAGTTTTCCTCGATTTCATCATTTAGATGAGTGCCTGATTTAACCACGATGCCTAGCATATGTGTGTGTGTCTAAAGAAAGGTACAAAAAGTCGGATTTTGACCATTTTGAGTTTAGGACACTTACAAACTTTAAAAAAAAAACCCAATGATTCAATTGCTTCTAATGTATTTCTTTCATGAAAAATTCATTTCCAATTTGGCATTCAGTTGACATCAATATGTGAAGCAGCGTGGTGGATTCAGGCACTCGTCAATTTTTGGACATGAAAATTTATTGGTGTCATCTTAAATCTTTTTCACTTGTCTTTATTAAATTATTTAGATGAAAAAAATATCCATTTATCTTGAATACAAGTCGGGATATTTGCGAATGAAGGAGGTGGGGGTCACCTGTTTTCAGAGGAAAAATTAGTGAGAAAATGGCCGCCAAAGATTAGTTATTTCCTTAGCTTAAGAGTCCGTGGTAACTGAAAATTTACATTTTTTGTTCCTTTAATCAACGTTTTTAAGAAAAGTCCAAACAGAAATGAATTCTTTAAAGGGCATGAAAGGTGTTGAGCCAAAAAACAAAAATTTGATAAAAATCCACAAACCTGCAGAAAAATGCAAGTTTCTTCACTTTGATTATTTTGACGAGAGCCTGATTCCACTATGCTGCTTCACATATCACGATTAGAATTCAATGGTAAAACATAGCAGGGAAGAGAAAACATGCTTCAAGAATAGATTTTAACTCCTTCTAAAGGCAGCTTTCGTTATATTCTTTAAAAAATACCCTAAACTCAAAATTATTCAAAATAAAATATTCAGAAGTCAAATCGATGAAAACTCTTTTAACACATTGTTAAAAAATGATGGAACTATCATTTCTTATGGAAACACATTTTGGTCAAAAAAGTGATTTTTTCATCATTATCAGCCTGTAGCTCAAAATTCTGTGCTGACTTTTTGTACCTTTCTTTGGGCACACAAACATAATATGTAGGGTCTGAATGTGCTGTGGGTGAAATATTGCCTTTATCGTACTGCCTGGCCTTAGGATTTCACTCAACTCCGATAGAAATTGGGTCATTCGTAACCGGGCATAAGCCCAGACTTGAGGTGCCGTAGTTGGAGGGCGCCTTTTGTGACTTGTAGATCCCTTTTTTCGCCTCTGTTTCTGTATAACAGCCATTCTTGGGTGGATGTTCTCCTCTTTACTCATATGAACAATAAACAAGATTATTTTAATTACCAAGAAAAAATGGGTGCTTATCTTATGAGATTTGAAGACATCAAAGGCTGCCTGGTAAAGCAACAGAGCTGGACATACAATCCAAGAATAATAATACTATACCATCTGTGTAGCACATATCTGCACTCTGCAGCATGCTGTATGCATGCACATTACAACTATTATTACCCCTGCAGACCTTAGAAACATTCCCAGATTCCCGCGAAGCATACAGTGTAAGCAGCAGATTACATACACTAAAATGGGTAACCACCCTTGTCAGGTTAAAGTGAGGAAGATTTGTGTAAAAAAAATGCTTCTCCCTAGGACACGTCAGTCCCTGATGGGGTTTGAACCTATGATCTTTTGATTGTGAGACCTACATTGTAACAGCTAATCCACTCATGCCACCAACCATTGTGGTTTCAACTCAAGACCAAGCCAGTCCAAGTAGGATGCTGTATCCTTTACAAAAGTACATTATCATAATTTCCCTCAGAGCATCCAGCGGCACACACGAGTACATGTACTTGTAGAGCTGAAGAAAAAGGCTAAAACAGCACCTGGACATGGATGGCTGGTGCCTCTATAAATAAATCATTGATGGTCTGGTCAGCTGAAGAAATGACACTCAATGTTGGTGAAGGGAACCAAGTAAAAGTAAGGCTCTCAGGGACGGATGATAATAAACTGATGGAAACAGGCTGGTCATGAGAGTAGGGTAAAATCATGTCAGTCTTTTGTTGGAGAGTTTTTTTGTTGCAAATACAGTAGATTTTATTCAACACAAAACCATTTAACATGAAAATCCCAGTTCCCCTCTTCATTCTGTGCATTGCAAATTCCTTCAACACAAAATCTGTTCAACACAAAGCAATTCTCTGCTCCCATGAAGTCTGTTTTATCTACTTACACTTAAATTGTAGGAAGGTAAGAAAAGGGACTATTATCACACTAAAAAAATCCCAGTACACTGCCATCTGAAGGCTAGGTGAAATGATGACAAACAACAAGCGCAAGTAATGGAGCAGGGTAGTGTTGGGCAGTGTTTGAAACAGAAAAAAAGGCAAAGATATTAATCTACTCTGTCTTAAAGCAGATCGCTTTATTACCATTCATTATTTACATAGAACCGACATTTTATACACACCTCTTATTTATTTGTGGTACACAGATTACACGATTCAGATTCTGAAAAATCACAAAAACTACCACCGTACAGGTAACCAGGTGTTTGAGAACAGAGGTGGTGATGAGGAATATGTAACATTTCATGACGATTAACAAATAGACCTAAGATTTTTCCCTCTGCTTCTTTCTCTTCTTCTGTTTCTTGTTTGACATCTGATCTGTGTCTGCTTCAGCAGGAGACTTTCGTTTCTTCTCCAAATGACTGAAAAAAGCAGAAAAAACAGGAAGTTACAATTCAGTGTTCACTGAAGCTGCAGTTGACAACAAATGGGCAAGACAAGTGCCAAATTTTAAAAGACAATCAGAACAATAATAGGGCTGAAAAGGTAGCAGGCGCAGACCACACAAGAAAGCATCTCATAGATTCAGGTTAATCAGAAGTAGAATCAGAATCTTGAGCCTGATCAAGGGGCCAAGAGTGAAGTAAAGTGTTATATTTTTCTGGAACTAAATTAGTTTCTTTTTCTAGTGATAAGTATTTTTTAATATCGGGGTGACTGCCAATCTGATTCTCAATTTTCCAGGGGAGCTCATCCATTTTCCAGGGGCATGTTACATAACAAAAGCAGCGCGTGCTCCATTTATATGATTATATTACACACACACACACACACATGCGTGTATAGGTTCATTATATCCAGTCAACAACATGTCAGTGTGGCACTGGGGTACTGTGTGACTGAGGTCTGTTCTTACTCATTATTATATTTTCCCATAATCATAATCATATTCGCCTCTATATAAACTATATGAAATAATCCTTTTTCGTGTCTGAGAAAAGGCCTTGAACTAGAATATCAACTGCCAAGAACCAGTTTTTCTTTTTTATTTGGGGGGGGGGGTGTTATAGTAGAGAGTTTTACGTCGCTCGCAACTGCATAAGGTCATATGAGCGTCAAGGGTTGGGTGTCAGACTTAGACTGCTCCCCTCTCTAGCTTCAACAGCACAAGGTCTGCTTCGACTATCAAGGCACCCCAAAATAGCAGGTCACAAGGGAGTGACAAACATACAAAAGAAGTAGATGAAAATGACAATAGTAAGAATCAGGAAAGAAAAAGCAGCAGTTCCCTGTTGTAGATCAGGCACAGTTATGAGCGAGAAATGAATCAGCCCATTTACAATTCTACTATGCTTGAACGAGATATGTCCCCCATTTGGGAATGGCCTAAAGACACTTCAGCCAGTGGCACTGCCCCGGGGGGTAAGAGCCAGTTTGAGTGTCAAGATTTATATAATAAACGTGAAAGACAAAAATTATTACTCAGACTCAAAGTAAAGTAATAACAAATGGCTCAAATAGACCTATTCAGTGAGAGAGGTGTAAGAACTGTGGGAGGTTAATTTACAGATTTCCTCAAATTCTTAGGGCATTCCAGGGTCTCTGTGATTTTTTTCAATTTCCAGGGGCCTGGCTGTCACCCAGTATTCACACTAACTCACTGACTACTGGCCCCTTTCACAAATCACTAGCGCTGAGTACTGGCATTTTGGGGGGATTTTCAAAACACCACCACAACTCTCAGAATTACCCTATTGTAATTATTTTTTGACACAGTAAAGTTACTTTCAAACTTAATCTATGGCAAAAAACTTAAGTTCTTTAGGTCTAATACTTTAATTCTTGTGATTGTTTCATAATTGGAATAAATTTGATTTTTCGAAAAATTTCCAGAGACATGACAGAAAAAATGAAATTCACAACAACAACAAAAATAAAAGTTCAAAGTGTTCTGTTTTGATTTGTATCCATGTGTCAGTGTTTGGTGAAAATATAAAAGCTGGTCTGTGCGTTTATTCAGACCCATACACTGAATTACATAAGACAGATGTAAGGAACGAAGCTGTGATTTCGTCGCACGAACAACAACAGTACTGGTGCTAGATCTAGCCCTAAAACTACGACTCGGGCCGTGTTCGGGTATATATCCAGGGTCCTAACTATCAGACACATCATATCCTGAGTCACTAGAACTAGCAAAACGTACAGATGTATCGAAAACGGCGAAATTATGTGATTCTTGTTCATGCTACCGTTACTTCGACGCGACTGTCGGGTTACTATCATTTGTATAGAAAAAACATAGCGCGAGTTCGGGTCAGGTCAACCCCCGATGAGGTGACTGTCCTTCACCTTCAATTGCTTAAAAAGTTACCACGAAACTTCCGCCAAACTCGGCATGAAACGAAAGAAGTGGCAAAACTAGCACTGGAGTCCGTTCCCATACTTGTCACGGGAGCACAAGATACGGAACAAAATCGCAAAGTCCATCCTGGCGGGGGTACGGGCAGGGTGTCCAGCAATATTTCCTGAAAAAATTTACTACCTGGAAAAAAAATTTACTACCCAGCAAATCAAACCCCACACCAGCTCGAAAAAGGGAGTTAATTTGCGCCATCAATAACATATACATTATTATTACATAACATATGGAACGAAAAGAACACACAACAAAGTCCAGTCGACAAAATGGAGGATAGTCAGACGATCGCAAGCTTGCTTGCAGCTAGATTTAGTTTTAGTAAGGTTTTTATGGCGCTCGCAACTGCATAGGTGATATGAGCGACAAGGGGTGGATGTCAACAGAGAAGTCCAAACAGGGAATCAAGCTTCGACTATCAAGGCACCCCGGAAATAGTAGTTCACAAGCGTGACAAACATACAAAAGAAGTAGAGGAAAATGACGATAGTAAAGAAGAGGACAGAAAAGGCAGCAGTTCCCCCTACGCTGGTCCAGCACAGTATGAGCATGACATTGATAAATCAGCCCATTTACAATTCTACTGTGCATAAGAACATGTTAACTATCCTTCCTTTGGGAATGGCCTAAAGACGTTTCAGTCAGTAGCACTGCCCTGGTGGAGGTGGGAGGGGGAGGGGGGGTAGATTTATACCTAATGTGTACACACAGGGTGACTGCCAAACCGGCTTCTCCATTTTCCAGGGCCATGTTACACAACAACAACGCGCACGCACGCACACACACACACGTACGCACACACACACACGTAATGACTCGAGTAATGACTCGAGTAAACCTATTCAGTGTTAAAGGTGTAAGAACTGTGAGAGGGCAAGAGGCAGCGACACTGAAAATCTGCCAGTCTTGAACAGAAAGCTACAATATTGTTCTAATTTACTATCACCCAACAAATGAAACGCGAACACTTTATTTCAATAACACGGCTTACAAGGTATGAAGGATCCCGATTCCACACAAGGCCTGCACCAACGCGCGCTTTGTAGAGGGCTCTAAATCTAATCAAAATTCTGAAATTTGCTTACAGTTTTTGTCCTCTGGTGTTGCCTTCATCCGCTCCCCCCCCCCCCCCCCCGAGTGTCTCTTTTAAAAAAATCAATAATCCCTGCCCTACTCCGTAGTCCTATACTTCACAATGCTCGACTTTTTTATGAACGTTGGCGACCCCAACAAACGCTGGTGCTCACCGATGCCGTACCTTGTAGTGCCTCGCACGAAGGATCACTGACCTGTCATGCTGGCGAACCCGACAATCTAAAAATCGGACAAAGCTTGTATTTTCTTTTCACACGCCCCCCCCACCCCCACCCCCACAAGTGACAGCACGGTGAAGAGTCCGAGAAATTATTAATTTTATTTGCACGGCGACAAAGCGGGTATACTGTACAACCTGCATATTACAAATGTTGCGTTATCAGTTTATCTACGCCAAATTTCAAGGTGGCAACGAAAGCGAAAGTAGATCTTGATTTTCCCTATCGAGCCTCGGTGTCACATACACTTCCACCTGCCGCCATAGCCGGCTTTTTGCGTGAAACGTACTCTCGGACGGGGAAAAGGTGAACGAATAATTATATCACAATCGCGACCGGCAAAAACGGAGTCATGTACCGCGGCTAGGGTTCACTGAAAAGTCTTGCTGGCTTCATCACTCAGTATGCAGGCTAATTTATGACCGTTTACCAAATGTTTACTACCTTCAAGGCAAATTTACTACCATTTACGCCCTTTACGACCAGGGCGCCGAATTTACGACTTTTTTACGACTTTGCTGGACACCCTGTACAGGGTCCGTACCTGCGAACTGCCCGCCCCGTACCTGTGACGGGATCCATAGTCAGTGAGTTAACATGAGCCCCCCCCCCTATATTTGAGACCATTTCCGTCCAGACCATTAGGGTGTATAGGGTGTACTGTGGTAAACGTAGTAAGACTTAAGTCCAAGGTCATGACTAGTTTACTCTAAGCTGCGAGAGCTACCTTTTCACACTAATGACCGATTTGGAGTTTCCCTTGATGGCTTCTTGCCAGTCTTTGTCCGAGCCCTTGATGGCAAAGTGAGAGAGGTCAGCTCCCACCAGAGTGGCCACGTTCTGTTTGTGTTCCTGCTTGAACTGCTGGCCAGCCTCTTTCTGTGAGTCACAAAGAAAACAAGATGTGTGGGGCGCAAACAACGTAAACAAGAAAACAGTGGCTCACACCAACTAAGGGGTGTTAGTCTCGACTTGACAGCACAGAAACACAACAGAAAGCAAGCCTAAAACTTTTAAGAGAAGAAAACCTTATCATAAAAAAACAATAATTAATTTGACCAACAGGATACTATTCACAAAAATTAGAAAAAAAGAAACTTGTTCATATTTCCACCGTGTGTTTAGCCACCAAGGAAAGATACAAGTCTAAAACTACTAGTCAAATGAAAAAAAAAAACGTGTCGATGTAACCAATTGTATGCAGTTACATCTTAGTCTTAGCATAACCATCCAGTGTGGCCAAACTTTTCCATTACCAAAGCACAAATTTACTAACCAGTTCCTGGTCCACAGACGTCAGTGTTGGCTCCATGACAATTTCTTTCTTCTCCGCCATGGTTGCCTCCACCTCTTTCTCCAAAATCTCATTAAAATGCTGAAACACAAGAGAGCAAACAATACAACAATAGCACCAAAAGAGATTAATTAGAATGTCTAGTCAGTACTCGTAGCAATGAGAACAATAGATTTGTATACTGAATTTGTTTACAAGAGGAGAATAGTTTTTTTTTCCAAACACATGAAAAGAAAATTCGTTGACATTATATTTGTTCATTAAAACTTTTACCGATCAGAAACCCATTTTATGCTACAATCACACATGCAGTATTTTCAGTAGCCCATATCCTTTAAATAAAATATATATATATGTATAGATACAATATCCCATGAAAGTGGAAAAGGCGTAAAAACTTAACTCACTTACTACTGGGCCCTTCCACCAGTCACAAGCGTTGAAGACTGGCGTTTTTGGGAGTATTTTAATAAGCCACAACAATTTTCAGAATTACCCTATTGTAATTATTTTTTGACACAGTAAAATAACATTCAAGCTTAATCTAATACAAAGAACTAAAGTTGTCTTAGTCTAATACTTTACTAGGTATGATTTTTTTAAAATTGGCATGGATTTGATTTTCCTAAAAAAATTTCAGAGACATGACAGGTAGAATGAAATTCACAACAACAACAAAAATAAAAGTTCAAAGTGTTCTGTTTTGATTTGTATGCATGTGTGAGTGTTTGGTGAAAATACAAAAGCTGGTACAGAAGTATCGAAAAACTTCGAAATTATGCGATTCTTGTTCATGCGACTTCTTCGACTGTTACAACGACACGACTGTCGGATTACTACCAGCTGTATAGGAAAAAACATAGCGCGAGTTCCGGTCAGTTCAACCCCAGTTGGGGTCACAGTCCTTCACCTTCAATAACTTAAAAACTACCAGCCCCAGAGATACGAAATGAAGTCTAAGTAGCTCAGGCCTGGACGAACAAGGGCACGAGGCGGGTCACGCGGTTCGTGCGTGATTTGTAGAGCGAAAAAAAAATTCCAAAGTTGATCGCGCAGGGCTTGTGGGAACCGCCGAGAGCGTCGCGGCGGGGGTCGCGCAACTGTTGTGTGAACCGTCTAAAGTGAGTTACAGTATCTGTTGACACTAAACTCCCCTGTTGGTGGGGTACAACTCATATTTCCCAAAGTGTCTGTCAGTTAAGGGTTTGATCCAGCAGGGGTGGGCCGTTGCGTTAAACACACAAAAAACCCACACACAAACTGAACAGGAGAACAAAAAACCGAAAGTGCAAACCTGAACAAACTTGCGGATGGTTCGGTTCAGCAAGGCCAGGATCTGACTGACGGGCAGTTCAATGTCCTTCTCCACATCCTCCACTGTCTTGTGCTGCAGGCCCAGGGCAAGCAGGATACTCTGGGGAGGGGAGGGGAGAGAGGTCAGGTCAGGTCACAACTAGCCTGTGTAACCTGTGTCGTAATGTCAGACCACACTCTTCGTTGTACTTACAAATTTTATACAAAGGGTGTGAGTTTGATTCCTGTCATGTGGGGAATCCAAACACTCCCCCCGCTCCCATAATACTTATATAATGGACACATGATGAACTCGTCTCCTTTCAAAGCAATTTATAGATATACATGTTTATACATCTTATGTATACATCTGTCAAGTTGTTTTAAAATAATATATATATATCTCTTTGACTGTAATGCACACTGAGCATTTTTTAGAAAGTACGCAAAAGCACAGCATAAATGCTATTTATTATTACTAATATCACTATCATTATTACTATTTCTACATACACTTTGCACCACACTCAGGTGTATGGGGACGTGGTTGGTGAAGAAGAGGCGAGCCAGGTCAGAGAGCAGGTCCACTATCAGGTGGTAGTCCACCATGTTGCTGGAGTAGAGCTCCAGTCGCTGGATGTCGTAGGTCGTCACAAACTGAAGCAGCTCCGAGCGTCTCAGGCTCACTGCAGGAGGAACAGGGATAGTGGTTGGGGTTGAGATTAAAATAGGTTTATATACAGCATTATCATCACTGGAGAATGCCAGAAAATCTCCTCTGTGGAGCATTTTAAAAAAGAAGGACAAAACAGATAACCTTTTCTGAGATCACGTAAAGACATCTGCTAGAGAGACTTGGCTCTGACAAAATCAATTTAAGAATCTGAAAACAAACGCTAGAAAACCACAGCCCAAAGAAGAAAGAAGTCTAGATCTGTCTCAAGATGAAGAAGACTTAGTCACCAACAACAGCTATAATGAAACACTTGAGGAGATATGAAAACCAGGAAAGAAGAGCACCAGCATTTATAGTAAGGCATAAACCTTAATAGCTACACGCAGTCATCTCCAGATGTAAATAAAAATTTGACAAACGCACACACACACACTACGCTTTGTTGTGTTTGTACAGTGCCTTCTACCAGGTTATAATATAATTACCTATTAAGTTAAGTAGTACTGAGCAGACAGAAGGGCTAGAACCCAAATGGCTGCTGGATCGGAAAAGTAAAGTAAAGTAGGTTGAACTGAGTCTTCTCGGTTGCATTTTAAAAACTTGTGGTCCCATCGGCATGCACTTCTTGTTAAAGACACCTTGCAAAAAGACTAGAAAGACTAGCTTGTTCTACCTAAAACATTGTGGGAGCAATTCTAGCTCATTACTTCCAATGTAAAAATATTACATCCTGGCAAAGAAAGATATGCTCACTGATGAGATTTGTTCAGCAACCTTTGACTTAATAACTTTGCGGCAACACCCTTGTAAGAATTCTTTGACAGAAAAAGGCCAGTCTGGAGTATATAAAACAGAAATATATAATCATAACACAAAACAAGAACAACTTCAGCAAAACAGTATTCTTTACAAAAAGCAATGACAGCTTCACCAACACTTTATAGACCTATAGCCCACCTGCTTTTTCCTCTGTTTTGAAGTTTTTGTTCTGCAGAATGTTCAAGGCCAGAGCCGGCTTGAAGGAACGGAACTGATAAGCCAGCAGAGCCACTAATCGTTTTCGGAAATCTGTTAAATAAAAAAAAAGAGTTAGTCAGAAAAAAATTTATATCATCGCTATTTCAAGAAAAACGAGCAGTGCAAAAGAAAAACTGCAATTCTACCTTTCATAGTACGGTAATTATAAGAATTAACAAATTAAATATTTGTGATGCAATTTTACCTCTCTACATAAACAATCAAAGGAGATTGCTCAACCCAGACGCTTGCCACGGACAACATGAAGAGTTCCAACCATCATATGGAGATCAAACAGAACCACCAATACTTCCCAGGGAAATAGAAAAGGCACTCAAGACCAGCCCCAAAAACAAAGCTCCAGGACCAGATGATATCACAGCAGAAGCCATAAGAGCTTGTGGAAACACCGGTATACTGTGGCTGAGGCGAATTTTCAACAGAGCCTGGGAGCAAAGAAAATGCCCAGAAGACTGGCAGAAAGCCATAGTGGCACCATTATGGAAAAAAGGCAACAAACGCGACAGCACAACATACAGAGGCATCTCCTTGTTAAGCCACTCAGGAAAAATATACGCAAAGATACTAGAGCAGTGCATAATAGCTATTGTAGAGAGAAATCTGAGCAAACCTCAGTTTGGATTCCGAAAGGGAAGAGGATGCACGGATACTGTATTCGCATTACGACAGATATGCGAGAAAACAATCGAACACAACAAAGAATCCAACATCCTCTTTATAGACCAGGAGAAAGCTTTTGACAGAGTAAACCACGCAAAACTCTGGAAGACTCTCGAAAAGTATGGCATCCGAGGACAAAGGTTAGGTAATGTCAGAGCTCTATATACCAGCAGCAGAAGCTCAGTAAGAACGAAGGAAGGCAATACAGACTGGTTCAAAGTAAGATCTGGAATACGACAGGGATGCGTTCCATCTCCCCTCCTGGTTATAATATTTTAGGGCACAATAACGCAAGATGAAAACCAAAGCCCAGAAAGCCTAAATGAATTTCTGTTCGCAGACAACCAATGTCTTATTCATCATGACCAACAAAGCCTCCAAAATCAAACTACCGAACTCAACAACAGCTGTGAGAAATTCAACATGAAAATAAGCACATCAAAAACAGAAGTTATGAAAGTGAGCCGAAACCATAGTCCCTTGAACATCCATGTCAATAGTAAACAACTGAAACAGGTGAAGGAGTTTAAATATCTTGGCAGCACTTTTTCTGAAAGCGGGTCCATAGACAGAGAAATAGAAATGCGAACTAAAAAAGCCAATGCTGTCACCTACCAGTTCGCACCCCTCATATCTCATCCAAACATCTCCACACAGCTCGATATTCATACCAACATTATGTTATCAGTGCCAGACCTGGACCTTAAGCACAACTATTGAAAGAAAATCACCACATGTGAAATGAAATGTCTCCACAAAACCCTTAACATCACAAGACGAGACAGGCAGAGAAAAAAAGAAGTAAGAGCAGCTATCGGCACTGAGTCCTGCCTGCGTTACATAGAAAGAGAGAGGTTAAAATGGTTTGGCCACCTGTTACGCATGACACCTGACCAGCCAGCCTTGAGGGACTACAACACCAGGCACTCAGGCTATAAAGGAAGAGGAAGGCCACGCAAAAGGTGGATCAAGGGTATCAAGGAAACCCTAAGAAAACAAAACATAACAACTGAAAGAGCTGCGGAGCTGGCCTACTATAGAAAACTGCATCTCCCCTCGACGCTTAACGGCAACAGAGGATGAAAAAGTAAAAGTAAAATAAGTACATAACACAGAAAATTGAACGTCGAACAGACATTTTGTTTAAGGCTAGCAAGCAGAAAATTTTCAAAAACTGTATTCTCGCTTTTGCTCAAAAACTTTTAACCCTGAAAGAAAGCTCAAGCAGACAGAAACAATATGAACACCTCCAAAGGGTGCATTCCAAAACACTATGTAGCCTACATAATTAGTGGTTACTTGACAAGAATAGCTCACCATTTACAGTCGAACCTGCCTCAACGGAAACCTGTCTTAACGGAATCTCCCCGCTCCCCCCTTGATATATTCCTCTTTAATTACCTGTATAAAACAGAAACCTGTCCAACGTGGAAACGGAAATAAAAATCCGCTCCCTTCTGAGGGTTTCACATGTCTAAGACGGAAAATGCTTTCCCCGCTCAGCCCTGATTTGAAACAAAACTCGCAAGTTTGATTCCGCCGGCTCTAAACTTAACGCCATGGCCATGCCGCTGGGCAAGGAAGGGGAGTAGGGGTGCAATGGAGGTAGAGTAAAAGTTACCCTATGTTACCCCATCATGTGAGCACTGAGCGCTACAGATGGTCAGTGTAGTGAGGGTGTGAAATCTCACGACTGCCCGTGAGAGTGCTCGAGTAGCCAGCCTCTACGGAAACTTTCCTGGGTAGCCAGAAGCCAGAGGTGTGAAATTAGATTGACCAATGCCTGCCGCCCTGATCGTACGGCCAGCCGAGAAAAGAGTTCCTCGAATCGTTGTTACACAATGGCAGTGAGGGATGGCATTGGTGGGTGGGACTAAAGGAGATGTTCAAACGTTTCTGTTTTTAATAGGCCAAACAGTGGTCCTATGAAAGGCAAGCACTGGTGGTAATTGGATAAGTAAGACTGACGCATGTCACTATCAGACAGGATAACAGCTGAGAGGTGTGAAATTTTGACCGCTGCTTGCCAATCGGACAAGTGATCCTTGATCCCACCGGCTGGGCCTTTGACCCCCCCCCCCCCCCCAAATTCCCTTGTCTAAGACGGAATTTTTTCCCCCCTCCCTTCCGATTCCGTCTTATACAGGTTCCACTGTAGTTCTTTTATTACAAAAACATTTTTTTTTTAATTTACCCAAACTTTTCACTTTTTTATTTGTTGAAGGTGTATTCAATTCTTTAACCCTATCCGTACAACCTGGGGTCATTTTGTACCCCCAGGATTGTATTCTTCACAATTTAAATTACTTCTAGTATGAAGATCTCTTTGAAACTTTCAGTATTTTGACAGACTGCTATGTAAAGCGTACGAATCGGATTAAGAGTAAATTTCCTCTCTCGAAAGTGGTGACAGGGAGTTCCCCACGTCGTATGGATACAATAGTAAAACACGACGTACGAATAGGGTTAAAAACAATTCAACCATTTACTTTTGAGGAGAAAACTTTTGCAAGAAAACGACCAAAGAAAACCTCTAAACAACCAGAGAACTGACCTATAATGGTAAAAATAAAAAGCAACTCACCTTTCCAAAAGGAAGGTAACCACGACTGTTTGTCTTCCTTCTCATCCACAGAAATGGTCTTAACCATAATGCAGGAATGCTCGCCGGTCAATTCATTCTGAGGATGAAAAAACCCCAAAAGTTCGCAAAAGTGAGAAAGTGTTCCGTACACAGGATCATATAGCACCCGACTGAGAAAAACCCAAAACAAATAGAATATAATAAAATAAAACGCAAAATTCCTCAGAAGTCGACACGACCCCTTCGAACATTCTGAAATATTCCCAGCAAACAATAACAATAACCTTCGAATTGCATTACAATAGAGAAGCTACCACTTAAGGCACCCCCCCCCAGTCACAAGAAAAAGCTTTACTCCTTTTAGCAGGTAAGAAAAATACTTTTAGGTTATTTTCCTCCCAGTTACTTCCTCATCAACTTCAGGCACCAAAGACTATAATTATAATCCTATTAAGCAGCCATTAATTTTTTTAAACAGGAACTGGGAGAAGCAAAGTATCAAAACTCAGTTGCAAAGAGGTCAACTTACAGCTGTCTGCCGGAGATACACAGGGACATAGCCAGACCTTTTCCAAAACCTGTTCAAGAAAGAAATAAGATAGATTAATCAGAAATTCCTTGAGTCACAGTTTTAGGTTTTCTGATCTAAAGCTTGCACCCACTACATTTAGCGGGAGCCAGAAAAAAACCCAGTTGAGCAACATTTTTTTTAGCACAGTAGACTATTTAACTAACCTTACTTAGAATTTCAAGTAACAATCTTTCTCATAAACAACCCAGAGCCCTTATCACATCTGCTAGAGAGTTTGTTGTATTCTCAATAGTATAAGAGGAAAAAAGAACAGGAAAGCCATTTCTATCATCCTCTGTTCATTTCTTCCTCTACAAAATTTATATCAATAAGTTGGCAACCCTTTCCTCTCATCAGATCCCGTGCAGAGATGCCAACCACAGAAAACCGAAATGAGTATTGGGAAATATGAAAATGTGTATTTTCAGGGGGAAATGTGTATTCCCCACGACCGACCAACTAGTAATAGTAAAATGTTCAGGGTGTCCAGCAATATTTCCTGAAAAAAAATTACTAGCTCACCAGCTCGAAAAAGGGAGCACACACGCGTACAATATACACGTATCCAGTCAACAACACGTCAGTGTTAAATGTCGTACTGTGGTCTGGTTTGACTTCAGTATTTCAGTCTATTATATACCGGTAACATTTTCCTCTTATTATATAAAAAAATAAATCCTGCTTTGAGAGTTCGGAAGGGCCTAGAACAAGAATTTCGATTATCAAGAACCAGTCTGGGTGTCATGATTCATAATATGAAGTGACAGACTCAAATTATTGCTCAAACTCAGAGAAAAGCAATAACTTGAATGGCTCAATTAAGCAGACCCACGCACTGTGAGAGTTGTAACAACTGTGAGTGGGCAAGATGCAGTGACACTGAAAATCCGCCAGTCTTGAACAGAAAGCTACAATTACATCACTGTAGGTATAATTTACTACATGTATGAAACGCGAACACTTTATTTCAATAACACAGACTTGCAAAGCATGAAGGGTCCCGACTCCACACACGGTCTGCACCAACGCGCGCTTTGCAAAAAGCTCTAATCAAAATTCTGAAATGTGCTTCCAAGTTTTTGTCCTCTGGTGTTGCTTTAAAAACCCCCCCCCCCCCCCCCCCAAAAAAAAATCAATAATCTCCTCCCCTATTCCGTAGTCCTATACTTCGCAACGCACGGCGTTACTCCCACCAAAGACGGTGTTTACTCACTACGATGCAGAATTTATTTATGACGCGAATGCACGCAGGTTCAGTGACCGGTCACGATGGCGAGCCAGACAATCTAAAAATCGGACGACGCTTGTATTTTCTTTTCTTTTTTTTTTCCACAGGTGACAGCACAGAGACGAGTCCCGAGCATTGAATAAATTTTATTTGCACGGCGACATTGCGTTTATACTGCACAACCTGCATGTCACAAATGTTGCGTTATCAGACAACTGCTGGCAAACTTCTCGGTGGTAACGAAAGCGAAAATAGATCTTTATTTTCCCGATCGAGCCCCGGTGTCACATACGCTTCCGCCTGCCGCCATAGCTGCCCATTAGCATGAAAGTGAAAAGTATCGGGACGGGGAAAAGCTGAGCGAATATAATATCACGATCGCGACCGGCAAACATGAACTTACAGACCTTATCGGACTTGGTTTTCAAATTCCAGTTCTGCGATACTGATACTATTTTGACAAAAGATGGAACTTGAGATAATTAGGTTTACACGCCCAAGCTGAATCTCGTATTTTTCGCATTCCATGAAGCGTATTTTTTCATGAAAAGTCGTATTCGCGTATTTTCTGCAAAAAATCGTACTAAAATATGTAAAATCGTACTGGTTGGCATCCCTGCCCTTGTAAACCTTCTCAGACATTTGCCTTAAAAACTCACTCCGCTAGCTTTCGATTTTGTCTGATAGTCCTCCAGGACTCAGATGCAAATAGAAGCTCATTCCCATTAATACAATTTGGAAACATGAGCAGCTGAATGCTCATGAGTGATTGCTATCTTTTTTCTCAAGTCACCTTTATCCTTATCTGTTCAAGACAAAATGTGTACCATCATGTTGACTTGCTGGAAAATTCCAATTCAGTAGTGTATAACACGAAGCTGTTTAAAATAAAATTCCTGTTATATCAAAAGGATTTCAAATCCTCAATTTTTTTCTTTTTCTTCTTTAGTCTATGCATTGCAACTGCCTTTAACACAAAATCAGCATAACACATGTCATCAGTTTTAAAGTAATTATAACAGTTGAAAGTAACACATTCAATGTAAGTCAACGACACTAAACTAGGAGCCTACCTGAAGAGGTCAGAGGTCAGGCCGTAAGAAACCCCTAAGTACTGGAGGGGCTCTGGTCTTCTGTCTGTCAGTTTCACAAGCAGAGGGGGGAGATTTTTGCGAGGGGCCAGGTGTTCATTCAACAGAGTCACTTCCTGGAGGAGACAAGTAGGTTCAGGGCATGAGAGAAAAAAAAAATCTGAGTAGTTTTCAGGGGATGAGTTCCCATTTCTCCTGTGATAAGCGTCAGTGTGTACTTTTCGTTTTTGGGTGTTTTTTTTAGTGTAACTTTGTTCATTTAAGAGGTGGGCTTTTTATTTATTTATTTTTTGTGGAAAGAGTTTTACGGCACTCGCAACTGCATAAGGTCATATGAGCGCGCGCGGGACACACACCAAACATTTTCAGTTGGTAGGAAATTTTGAATTTTGCCTGGGTGGCGGCCGAAGCCTACTCTTATTGATTTTAGACCACCAAAGGATCTTTAACGCATGCAACTTGCACATGAGACGTCCGAGATTTTTCGCCCTTGTCCGAGAAGGCTAGGTGTAGATCTTTCCTACCATAAGATCAGGGGTGTGGCTGAAAGATAGCAATAAGGAGCCAAGGAGTAGCAGTAGAAAGGCTGCAGAAAGAGTCAGGAGCCCAGTGGAGGGGGTAAAGGAGGTGAGGGGTGGGGGAAGAAAGTGGAGACGAAAGCAGACAACAAAAAATTGCAAAAGAGAAGGAAAGAAGGTGAAAGGAGACAATTTTTTTAGAAAAAAAATTTTCAGTCCCTACCTGGATTCGAACCCGGGACTTTTGAATGAGAGGCGAACACCTTAACCCCCAGGCCACGAGAGCTCCCCCAGAGTTGGGCTTTGACTATGCCTGTCAAGGCCAAACTGGGCTGAAAGGGATACAACATCCCAGAAAAAAGACGATATTCAATACCCCCCCCCCCCAAAAATAGAGAAATAAAACCCCGACCAAGCCGCCCCCCCCCTTTCCCGAGTACTCAGTACTCACGCATCATTACATTACTTTTGTTCAAGCGCAACACATTTTCACCAGCACTATTAATAACGAAATTGTCACATACAAAATGCATCCCCTCGGAACATATTGCTCATGACATGCTCTGTTGAAACAGCTCGTTTCCTTAATGCTCTTACTTCTTTCGGTGGCCCAGAGCTTTCGCAATCCTTTACAATTATGTGATAATATACTTAATGTATATATATTAAATGTATGTATTACTTGTATTTTTATGTATGATAATATGATAATGTGTAAATTATGCATATGTACACACAAGCACACACACATTACATCTAGATATAAAAATATAATATATATTTATATATATTTATATCATTAAATATATGAAGTATACGTACGTACACATGATGTACACCACATTGCCTCAAATGGCAAGTCTTGTTACTCGTGTGGGTATAGCTCCCACGTGTTGGGTTAAATAATGTTGATGTCCCCCAAACGAGTATGTACAGACGTCAACATAAGTTAAGGACCACCTTGACAGACAGCCTTGATTTTTTAAGAATCCGAAAAAAAGACAACAAGAACGTTTCACAATTGTTTGCTCTAAAAGTGTGAATGGGTTACCAATG